TTTACCATACAAGATTTGGGCACCAATTCTGAGCTGATGTTCTCACGTATCTCTGCAGCCCATGAGATGAACTCTTACAACTCTTCTATTAACGTGTAAAGAGTATAGTATAAGTGGGAATGCAGTAGAAAATGTGGTTACTCCAGAAGGATACATGACATTAAGGTGATTTTTCAACCTGTAATTCTCTTCCTTAAGTATTGTTTTAATATTATAACCTGTAAATTCCCCACTGCTATTGCAGCCTAGATGAAGATATGGTTTGGGTTATTTTTACTGTGAAGATGAATCTCAGCCTCCGTCAGACTGAGAAGTCATGCCATACTTTGTCCTTCAGGTTAGAAGTCTTTTTATTCAGGATTCTGTCTTTCCCACCTGAGCTGGTTATCTACACATACAGACTGTTGATTTTCTACATGGCTCTAGGCCTTAATGCTGGTGTTTTAGATCTTTACCACCTGTATTTAGTTTGGCAGCAAATTTTTTTTTAATGATATAAGTAATTTTAAATGCTGTGTATTTTTGCACATATGATTAATAAGGTCAGATTGAAGTGTAAAACACATAGGACTCATCCATTAGTTCCCTGTATCTTTCTTTACTAGATGAAAAGAACTTTAGGACTAAATAGATACACACACATATACATATATATTTTCAGGTGAGCTCTTTTTGAAGAATAGGTCTTTCGAGGGTCAGTGGGGGAAGGTGGTTGGCCATTCATATTACCCGAGGATATTTGAAAATAATCCCTACATATAGCTTCTCCTGTGCCTGGTCATGGTAGAAAAGAAAAGTATGTAAAAAAGACAATAGAATTGATTCCAAACCTTTTTTCTCAGAGGAAAATGATCATTAATTTCCAGATTTCCCCTTTGTACCTGTATACACACAAATAATTTAAAAATATTTTGTATGTAGATTCACTGTTCTCTGAAAATAAATGACTATTATAAATGACTATTATAAATGACTATAAGTGCTTATTATACTATTACATAATATAAGGCTACATGTTATAATTAATTATAAAGCTATACATATATTAAAACTACATAGATATGTTTATATTATAAAGTTATGTTTTTATTTTTTGTATTTTATTCTTCTATTGGATGAATCAGCTACAAAGCAGATGTTGTTATTGAGGGGCAGTGTGGTGGCAAGAATGGAACAGGTCCAGAAAGCTCTGGGGACTTACAGGGAATAGGTGTAAATACTTGTCAGGAAGATAACAGTGAATTGTGAGGAGTAAAGGGCCCTTGGCCTTCACTGCACATTAGCATTACCATGGGAACTCCTAAAAACAAACTAAAACATAACTTCCCTCCCAAATACCCTGATGCCCAAATATCACCTGGGCAAATTAAAATATCTGGGAGCAGGCTGTTGGTGAGGATGTTGAGAAATTGGAACCTTCATTCATTGATGGTGGTAATGTAAAATAGTGGAGTTGCTAAGGAAAGCAGTTTGGCAATTCCTCAAAAAGTTAAATATAGAGTTTCCATATGACCCAGCAATTCTACCGAAGAGAATTGAAAATATATGTCCACACAAAAACTTGTACCTGAATGTTTATAATAGCACTATTCATAATAGCCAAAAAGTGGGAGAACAATATATCAACTAATAAATGGATAAAAAAAATTGATATACATATAATGGGATACAATCCAGCCTTTAAAAAGAGTGAAGTACTGATACATGCTACAATATAGATGAACCTAGAAAACATAAGAAACTAGACACAAAAGGCCATATATTGTATGATTCTGTTTATATTAAATGTTCGGAGTAGTGGGGAGGAGGAGGAGGGATAAAGGGGGTAAAAGGGGTCAAATATGTGGTGACAGAAAGAAATCTAACTATGGGAGGTGAACACTCAGTATAAACATATATGCGCCTTACTGTTAAAGTGTACAGCTGAAACTTACTGGATTTCGTTAACCAATGTTACTGTAAAAAAGAGAAAAAGAAAAAGTTCAGAATAGGCAAATCCATAGAAACAGATAATAGATTAATGATTGCCAGGAGCTGCAGGGAGGAGAAAATGTAGAGTAACTGCTAATGGATATGGGATTTCTTTTTGGATTCATGAAAATGTTCTGGAATTAGATAGTGGTCGTAATTGTGCAACTCTGTGAGTATAATGAAAACCACTGAAATATATATTTTAAAAGAGTGAATTTTATGATATGTGAATTGTATCTCATTTTTTAAAAAATCTTGGAAAAAAGTGTATGGGAATATGGGGCACGGGGACTTCTATTTTTTAAGCTCCTGAGATAATTTTAACATACAACACTGAAGATCATTTTTTAAATAATGGAACTTGAAAACTAAAGACTCTGTAGCTTAAATGTTTGTGATCATAAGCATCTCATCATTCACTAAATGAAACGCCAAATAAGACTTTGCATAATCTGGTCTCTACCTGTCTTTCAAACCCATTTCCTCAGTTCCTTGTCTTGCTTTCTGTTCTCAGACTCACGGTCATGCTCTTCCTTCCATTTGTCTAAGACCTTAAGCTTGTTCTTGCCTTGGCACTTGATGTTTCCTCCACTTGGAACATTTCGTCCTCAGACACACAAACATAGTGGGCCCCTCATCATCCAAATCCATGATTAAATGTTAGGTTCTCTTTCTATTTATACTAAACCAGTCGCTTCTACCACCTCGAAGTCTCTATGCATTTTTTGCACCCTGATTATTTCCTTCAAATCACAATCAGAAAAATTTTTGTCGACTGCTTTCTGGTCTCCATCATTTTGCTCTCCTCCTCAGTCTGCACTTGGCGTGCCCCATGAGAGTTAAGGCATGTTCTGGCATGTTCACCACTAGAATAATATTTAGAATATGGCAAGTATATAATAAATGTTTGTTGAATGAATAAGTGATTAGAGATTAATGAGCAACCGATTCAAGGACAAATTATTTCAGTGCAGGCAATTCCTAACTATCTTTGTAGGAGAAGGAGAAGGAACCAGTGAGAGTGAGATTAGAGATGCTAAATAAGTAAAAGTTTCAAGACTTTAAACTGACAGAGGAAAGAGGTTACTGATGAAGTGAGAGCTTGAAAAAGTTGACATTTTGAAATACCTATGTGTTTCTTGTTTTAAACTGAAGCTGAGCTTCAGTTTTGTTTTTTTTTTTTGACTTGTTAACAATTGAAAATTTTTCTTTAGTGACACTGTAGGTTGATGCCTTAATATACTTTACTAAATTTTTTTTTTCTTTGTATAAAAATGTTACAGGTATACTTTTGTTTGAATTCTGAGACACTTCAGGCTGTCTTCTCTTTCTCTTTGTTCTTCTTGTTGTCATCTTGTGGGATATTCTTAGAGTTGTGAAATTTTGCCATACACCTGTAAGTTTAGAATGTTTTATAAAACAGCTAAACCTAACTATGTGTTTCCAGCTATCCATTTATGTACCTTGATGGTTTTCCAAGTTATCAATAAAAATATGCTTGAGTGCCTGGCCAGCTAAAAGTATATTTTTTACCTCAGATGATGCCACTTTTTTTCTGTTAAGGTTAGTGTTGGTATCCATTAGGAAGCAGCTTTTCAAGCTCATATACATTTTTGGTTAACATTTGAGCACCCAGTTTTTAAATGAAGTGATTTGAAATAGAAACATATTTTTCAGTTGGTAGAAGTGTCTGGAGTTTGTATTTGCTATGTGATTTCTTCTGCTGATCCCTAGGGAGGGTCATGCTTTTTAGGGTTGGTCTAGATTCCTGCCATTTGCTGAGACATGTCAGGATGGAAAAGTGAATTATTTTTAAAGTAAACCTTACACCTATAGCCATTATAAAACAACATGTTTATTTTTCAAGGTAAGAGAAAATACAAGCTTTTAAAATTCTTTTAACCAAAAGAATGATCTTTCTTTTTCATCATGTCTGGCTTCCCGGTTGCCTAGGAGAAGTTCATTTTCGTGGCAGATTGTTTTGGTTAGGACAGCTAGAAGTCGTTTTCTCCTACATTATATTCCTAAGTAATAACAAATTTTTATTAGAGATTTGGATAATCAGAGAATACTCAGTGCCGATAAAATTGTGGGTAAATGTGCCTTTTCCTGATATTACCTTTTAATGTAAATGTTTAGGAACTTCACCTGAGTGATATTTAGCATATCAATAGCCTTGAAGATTCGATATCCTTTGAACACAGTGATTCTCAAATTGAGGAACCGATACATGAGAAGTATTCAAAGAGATGCATCAGTGTTGATGTACGAAGGGCCTTCCTTGAAGGAATGTCAGGAGGATTAAGATTTTATATAGAAATTGCTTAGTATGAAAGTACTGAGTATTAACTATAATTTCTACTACTTAATACGATGC